GAATGCCTATAATTTTAAAAACAAATTTACAGTAACATTTCCTTGTAAGACATGACATTCTGACAGGTAACTATAGCTACGAAGTCCCTCTACAAAGAGATTGTAGCTAGCTTTGTATTGTGGGAGAGTGGGAGAAATGAACTTTGATTTCAGTGAAATTAGCATAAATTCCATTGACTTCCACCCTATATAAGGCCTTTTGAGCACTTGGTAGGGACTCAAAAAATAAAAGCCCAACTTTTCCTCTCTACTTACATATCCCTCCATGGCCTGATTACCTTTGTTCTGTTTCCAAGTTATGATTCAAGGAACTTCATACTAGTCAAACCTGTCAGACCAGAACCATTCAGAAAGGTCTGGATGTTTAGGTTTCTCCCTGTAAAGTCATGCTGTTACAGATTTAACTTAATGAATAAGCAACTATGCTGGCACTCTGGTATAGTTAACAACAGAGTTGGCATGAACTAGGCCCAGAATGCCAACCAGCTATTGGCTGCTGTTCTCCCAGCAGTGTAACACATGCCTAGGTACATGGCAACCTAGGCAGCTGCCTACAGCTGGGGCCAAATGTAGCTAAAGGAGTCTCCCACTCACCTGGGGCTGCATCTGCCCAAAGTACACAGCTGGCACCTCTGCAATCAAAATACTCTAGGTTAGAGTCAGCCAACAGTTAGTGAACACCTGTGTGGAATTCAAGACCGCCCCCCCCCCGCCAAAACAGTGAGGCCTGAGCCACAAAACCAATAGCAGACAATAAAACAATTAGCTTTACCTTGGTTAGCTTTATTTTCATATGTCATTTTTACCTGCATACAGTTCAATAGCAGCAAATTAATAACCTTATCAAAAAATATCAGGAAGTTTGGCTCTGTCACCTAACAGCCAAGTGATAGTGGGCAAGAAACTTAACCTCTCTGTAACTTCAGTCTCTTCATTTATTGAATGAGGGTATTAAAAGTACTTTGTACACAGGGTGGTTGGGAGATTTAAATGGAATATAATTAAGCTCATAGGATAATATCTGATACAGACTGTGTACTCTGTAAACTCTTGCTATTATCCGGAGCTGTATTCCAGGTAAGGAGATATGAATATTAGTGAGAAGAGGGGAAGATATCCTGGGAGAGCAATGGGCAGTAAAAACTAGAAAGGCAGGTTAAAACTAGATCAGGAGGGCCTCAGTTATAGTACCTCTTGAAGAACAATAAAAGCAGCACTTTAGAAAAATAATTGGACGTAGTAATGGGTGCAAAAGCAACTGGAGGCAGTTAGGTTGCCATTCCTGTTAACGACCTCAACTACTGGTTAAAAGCAATGTTTACAAAAATGATAATAAACATTCGTACCCAGTCACCCTTATTTATATAAGGTGAGGGTATCTAAAACCATACTTTTTTCCCCAGCCATCCTCTGATTTCACTCCTAAATGCCTACAAACAATTTAAGAAGAAAAGGAAAATAGACGGGAATCATTACCTAGGCCTAAAAACGAATCTAAAAATGGCCTGTCGCTTTTCGGGGCTGGGGTTGAAGGGGACTGACAGAACTCCTCTTGAACACGTGTTCCTCGCAAACCTTCCCCAAGTCCCTGGTCCCGGCGCCTGGGAAGCGAGGCTCTCCGAGACCGGCTCTAGGTGACTCTTCAGGGACAACAGGGATGGCAGAAAACAGGGGGCGGCTCTAGGGGTATGATCCCCCAGCATCTCTTCAAGATGCCCTGCAAAACTGGGGTCACGATGGAACGAACTCCAGTTTCGTCCTGTGCCTCGGAACACGCTTCCTCACAGCTGCTTCTCGCCCCTGGCTCGTAAACCTCCAAGACCTCTCCCCACTTGGCCCTTACTCACCCACACGTGTCCGGAGCTCGGCGGGTACACTGCAGCTCAGATCGAGGCCGCAGGGGAAAGGGCAGCCGGGAGCCGAGGGGAGCTCCTCCCCGGGGCGGCTACTGGGCGGGCCGTCAGTGGGCGGGGCTCATAAACCCCGCCCAGGAAAGGCCGGTTTAGAAAAGCGCGAAAGCTGCGGCTGAGGTGAGCAAACTCTTTGTAGGAGCTAGACCCCAGAAGACAAAGGGTGGGAATTTGAACAAGGTCTACGTTTCTTTGACACCCTTCCTATTTGTTACCTACGCCTGGAAAGGGCGCTGGTTTGGAGCTGCTGAAGAGAAAACCTGAGGTGTCCTGGAGGAACGTCACACGGAGCGCTGCTCGTTCCTGTCACACGTGTGGCGCCTTTCAGTTCCTGTAAGCTCAGCCCACGGTTTTTCCACCTCCCACACAGGTTCTCTTTCTGGCTTTCTTCAGAAGCTCTGTCATCCAGCCAATGGATCGCCCACACAGGTCACCTCGGTTTTCAGGATCTCTCCAGGAGGTTTTCGGGTAGATTATGCCTGTCACAGCCTCATCTGCGGGACCACATCCGTGGGGCCCTGCAGTGGAATCCTTAGCTGAACTGCAGGAGCTAAAGAATACTGGCTTTCTCTGCCAGACTTGCCTTTCACTGTGGCACAGCCAAATAAGCCACATCCTTGGTCTGCACAGATTGCCTGCCCTTCAGGTTATCAGCATTTCTTTTGAACACTAAACCTTCCCACACTAATTGGAGTCAATACGATTCTGTCCTGCTGAACAGTTGATGAAGCTGAGGCCCAGAGGGGCAAGGCCCAGCAGCACTAATTCCTAAATCCATTCTGTAATTCTCCAAAGTCTGTACCCACTTCGTTCCTCCTCCCCTCCCTCCAGCCTACCGGCTCTGCTGATCTTTTGCTCCTGGCATCTTTGTCTGGGGAGCCCCTGGGAATCAGCCAATGCCCTTGTCATCATGCTATTTCCTCAGCTATTTTGTAATGGAAAATACGTGCTTCCTGTGCACCCCAACCCTCGCAGACCTCCACTGAGAAAGCCCAAAGTCCTACATTGATTCCAGCAAGAGACCCTAGGCTTTAAGGCCAGAGAGCCTCAAAAGTGGCAAGCACAAATCCTTCCCAGTCTTCATGAAGTTGGACATGGGCTCTGGTAGGAAAAAGGCTTACATAAATACAGTAATTAAAAATGTCACATGATCAATGCTGGGCTGGTAGGCAGGAGCTCTGCTTTGCAGTTAAATAGGAATGTGGCTGAAGACTGCTGCCATCATCAATGCCCACATCCAGCTGTCACTGTGTGTTCATAAAGGAGGGTTATGAGAGCTATAAAACTGGGCAGATTAGGTGGGTAATTGTCCTGCAGAGCTCTGCTAAAGGAGAAATTGCATTGGCATCTCATATATTTTGCTTTCTTTCCTTCCAAACACACAAAATGGAGAAGGCAGTGCTACTCTGAGGATTCATGAAAAGGAAGGATGAAGTTTGAATGTGTGCTTTCAGAGAAGAGATAGGAAGTAATTGAGAGATACTAGGGCCTTTGGTGAGAGAGGGGCCAAATGACCTGGAGAGAACTGGATTCACAGATCCTTCCAGGGAGAAGGCAGGATTTGTGTGGAGGGAAGGCCAGCCATTATAAATAAAGCTGAGAGGTGGGCCATGTTCTCATGTCATATTGGAAGTGTGGTCAACTTTTATAGGTATAGGCCATTCAGTGTCCTTTGGAGGAAAACCAATATTATGATTTCTTCATTTCCTTGTTAAAAAATCCTTTAGAGTCAACTTTCTTAATCCCCATCTTTTAAATTCTGAATTATTTTGGTGATTTGACTTATGTGGTCTTTTACTTACAACATCAACCACTTTTCTACCTTTTTGTTTCTTAATACTTGCAAAGACAAAATTATCAGGAATAATAACAAAAAAGAAAAGGGAAAATTTCTAGGAAATAAATGCAGCCAGATGAAAGGTCCCTAAGCTTCTTGCCTGCCTTTCCCTTTCTCCTTCATCTGTCCTCTCCTTTTTGCTTCCTTACTTGAAGACTTTTGCACCTGAGACTGCTCTTTTCTCTCCTCCCTGGACAGGAATTATCAATAGAGATATATTTAATCATTTGTTCAATTAGTCAATCAGTCAACCAACATTTACTGAACATCTACCATTTACTAGAACCTGTTCAGGTGCTGCAGATAAACTCAGAGCAATAGAGATTCCTGCCTACCTAAAGCTTGTAGTCTAGGTGAGGAGAAAGATAAGCACTGTAGGTATTCTTGGGCATATATCAGGGGCAGCTAACTTAGCCTGGGGAGTCCTAGAGATGGCAGTATACCCTCTAGCTGATCCCAAAGGCTTACAGTAGAAGAAGGAGTTCTCTTGCATCCCTGTAATATTCTTGCTGCTGCTCTGTAATACCAAAGTTCGACTAGGGCCCTGCAGTGGTCCTTATTCCTCAAAAGCATAGTTGGATTGGCAAGGATATAGAGAAACTGGAATTCTCATACACTGCTGATGGGAATGTAAAATGGTGCAGCCACATTGGAAAACATTATGGCAGTTCCTCATACTATTATACATAGACTTACTTTATGACTCAGCAATTCTGCTTCTAGGTATATACCCAAGAAAATGAAAATGTATGTCTACATAAAAATTTGTACACAAATATTCATTGTAGCATTATTCACTAGAGCTAAAAATTTGAAACAACCCAAATGTTTATTAACTGACAAATAGACAAAATAAAATGTGGTATATCTATACTGTGGAATATTATTTGGCCATAAAAAGAAATGAAGTACTGATTCATGCTACAATCTAAACGAACCTTGAAAACATTACATTAAGTTAAAGAAGCGAGATCATATATTGCTTACTTCCATTCAAATGAAAAGTCCAGGACAGAAAATCTATAAAGACAGAAAGTAAAGGAGCGGAGTGGTTGCTTAGGTCAAGGAGGGGGACAAGGGGATAGCTAAAGGTTATGGGGTTTCTTTTTGAGGTGATGAAAATGTCCTAAAATTGTGGTGTTGGTTGCACACATCTGTGACTATAATAAAAGCCACTAATCGTAAAGTAAATTGTACTTTAAATGGGTAGATTGTATAGTATGTGAATTATATCTCAATAAAGGTGTTAAAGCAACAACAATGAAAGGCATACTTGGGGACCTTAAAGGTCTGCAATACTGATTCAAATTGTGGGCTGCATGATCATTGCCAATTTTAAATTCTAGAAAGCACTTTTTATTCTTGGTCTTGTGACCTTTCAGAGTTCCTTCCTCAGTATACAGAGAAACAATGCATTTTGGTGGGCAGCACAAAAAGATGCAGAGAGATAGACTGTACATTCTCATACTTCTCTCTAACTTGACTCCCTCATAATGATTTGGTTCAACATTTATGTATACCTACTGTGTAGAAGGTATATGGACCTGAAAGAGCTAGAGTCTCTTTATTCTTTCCAATGCTTGAAATTAAATTATTAATATAATGCCCTCTGTATAACAGATGAAGTTCTTTAAAAGGTAGTCAATGTGGTACAAGGAATAATTGCAAGGCATTCTGGTATTCTGGACTCCTTCTATAGCATGCAGGGAAACATGGTCACATCACCTAGAGCAAGACTAATTTTCAGTTCTTATTGATGTTGAGCAAGTTCCAAGACTTGGCTTCCTTCTCACATGCCTCCAATCACCCCTTCATTTGGTTTCTAGACTCAATTAGTTAGTCTATTTTCATACCCCTCATTTTCTCACCAACCCCTCCCCCACAGTGTCCAAATTGGCCCTCCAATACTGAAACCATTTGCCGGAAATTCATTAAGCTGAACACATGGGAAATTACAGAGGAGATTTCACTTGTCACTTAGGCTCAAATATAGAAAGTAATTTTAAAAGGACAGTGGCAAGAGGCTATTTTTATCTTGCTTGTTTGTGCTGAGTTTTCTTATCTTGCTGTCTCTCGTTCTCTTCCTGGCTATCTCTCTCCTCTTCTTTGCTTCTTTAAAATAAATATTGGCCTTTTTAATCTTTGTTTTGGGTTCTCTAATTTTGCTTTCAAGAGTCTTTTGTCTCCCTTACAGTGGTGAATAAGACAGACATGGTCCTTACCATTATGGAGATTACAGTCTGATGAGGCAGGTGGACATCAGGTAGACTGAGTTCAGTTGTAGTCACAGGAAAGCCTTGAGGGAAGTCACCAGCACCTTTCGGATGCTAAGTTTAACCTGCAGTAAATGGGCAGGTGAAAGTAGCCAAAATTCTGGCATGTTTGTGGGGTTAAAGAATAAACTAAATATATCATAAGGAATGCAAGTAAACCAAAGACCCAGATTTCTGTGTGATATATTCAAGCCTCCAGGATAAAGAGAACATGAATTTGAGAGTCAGAGGTGGATCTGATTCTGACTCCACCACTTACATAATAGCTGTTTGACTTCAGATAAGTGACCTCGGGACCTCAGTTTCCTCACTTATAAAATGGGAATCATAATCTCCACATTTTAGGTTGTTGTGATGATTAAATGAGATAGCATATACACAAGGGACCAGACAGGTGCCCGACATATGTTGCTTCCTTTTCTAGTACCTCATTATCCCACCTTTGAATTCCACAATTACAAAAAAAAAAAAAAGGTTCAGTCTCTCAGTTGGTGGGAAATGAGCTTCTTCATTTGGTATTTACCAATTATGTGTCCTGAGAAACAGGTAGTTACTATATTGGTTCCCATCAGTTGTACTACACGTGGAATTTATGACAAATTACTCTCTTATTCTGGGGTAAAGGAAAGGCACTTTAAAAAAATAAAATTATACAAAAAGACTGAAATAAGATATAACAAAGGACTTCCTCCTCGCTATGAGGGCTAGAAATGTGAGCGAATGCCAGAGAGATCTACAGAATCTTTTTTGCTAAGAGTATCTGTTTAGAATGGGCTGGGGCAGGCCTACCTGGAGGGTGAGAATAAACCTGCCAACCTCTACATGTCCCATTTAGCCTGGGGAATCTTTTCCAGGGGGAATTGCTGTACCTTTTCCTTTTCTAAGCCAGGCATGCTCTGGGGAGCCGATTACTGCCAAGAAGGC